GCTGCTGAAACTGTATCAGAAAGGGGTAACTACTGCTGCTGAAACTGTATCAGAAAGGGGTAACTACTGCTGCTGAAACTGTATCAGAAAGGTGTAACTATTGCTGCTGAAACTGTATCAGAAAGGTGTAACTACTGCTGCTGAAACTGTACCAGAAAGGTTTAACTACTGCGGTAAAATTCAATAGAAGATACCAACGTCTGACTGAAAGACGTTTCGGAGAATTAATTTCGTAAAACTGCTCGTTTTACTTTTTGTGTGTATATATATATATATATTTCTTTTCATATAAGTATTTGAACGTGTATATTATCAAAGCTAATTGTGACACTCAGATTTGTTGATATTTTAGTTTTGTTGCTAATAGAAACAGAATAAAAGTGTATTCTCTGATGTTGACTGAATGCTGCGTTTATATGTATCGGTGTAGCAATCGACTAACCCGCACTCAACTACAGTATCAGTGCAAGAAAAACAAAACAAAAAAACTTCTCGTGCAGCCAGCCAGCTGTGAAAAGTAAATCACATTAAATGCTAATAAGCGTTCTTTGAAAGAAGTGGATATCGCTGTTGATTCTGTAATCCAGCGAGCGCATTTCAAGATGTCCCTAATTAAAGTCGGTCTAGTGTAAAATTACATTGTTATTCGTGGTGACAAACCCGAAGTTGTGTCTAAGTTCCAGCGGGTTTCTTCTTTGTTGTTGATTAACTAACTTTAATTCCAACTATTCATTCGATATTTCCAACCCCTGGTCTCGGGACGTATGGATACGACGCATACTGTGATATAGGACCAGGCTTATCAACTTAATTTGTATCTATACGCGAGCATAAGTAAACCTCACATTGCTAGTCAGAACAAAATCAAAGTAGTCTTTCATGCAACAGGCCTTTGTTGTTCGGTCGTAATCCAACAGTCGATCTACGAATAGATCGTGAACCAAAGAACGCGGTTATAGACGTTATCAATGTATGTATAAGAAAATTACAAATATCGCAATGTTCTAACACTTGGGCTAAATCGAATAACGTAATCACACGTCACGTCCCCCGGTGGAACAGCGGTAAGTTTTCGGATCTACAACGCTAAAATTAAGGGTTCGATCCCCCTCGGTGGACACGGCAAATAGCTGTGGCTTTGCTATCAGAAAAAATACACACTCCTACGTCACTTTTCAGTTGTCTTTATATTTGTTTGTTTGTTTTTTTGAATTTCGCGCAAAGCTACACGAGGGCTATCTGCGCTAGTCCGTCCCTTAATTTAGCAGTGTAAGACTA